ACAACAAAATGGAGTAGTTGAAAGAAAGAATCGGACTATTCTTGATATGGTCCGAGCTATGCTTAAAGGGAAGAATATGCCTGAGAAGTTTTGGGAAGAGGCAGTGTAGTGTGCTATATATACAGAACAGGTGCCCACATTCAAAATTGGATGATGTGACACCTCAAGAAGCATGGAGTGGACAAAAACCGAGTATACATCACTTCAAGATCTTCGGAAGCCTTGCTTACGGTCATGTTCCAGCTTGCAACTTAATTTGAATGAAACTCGGAACACCCAGGGTCGAACATTACGAGGCAAAGGACGAGGTGATCATGGAGGTGATCAAGGACGAGGTAGAGGACGAGGTGATCATGGAGGTGGACAAGGACGAGGTGATCGTAGCCAAGAAAGTTAGCCAAGGTCGGAGGTGAAATGTTATAAGTTTGGCAAACACGACCACTACGCAAAGGAATGCAGATCGGCAAATTGCTACAACTGTGGCAAATACGGTAACATAGCAATGTATTGCCGAGCTAAAAGATGAAGTGAAAACAAAGAGAAGAATCTTCTCACAGAAGAAGAGGACGAGGAAGCAGGAATTTTGATGATGACGCAGAGCTCGGAGACCAAGCTACGTCCGAGCTGTGCCTTTGAGGTTGAGATAAACTTGAGTTGTGTGGAGAGATCAGTAGTTGGGCTTCCAAGCTTAGATGAGAAGTCAGAGGCTGAGCTTGATTCGGGTTGCTTAAACAACTCGGTCTGGTATTTGGACACTGGAGCGAGCAATCATATGCGTGGAGAAGAAAGTTTTTTCAATGAACTCATCAAGGTGAAGGCTGGATTCCTGTCATTTGGGGATGATTCCAAGGTGGCGGTAAAATGGCATGGAACCATCAAGCATATGCAGAAGAATGAACGAGTTGGAGAAATAAGGAATGTCTACTACGTTCCCGAGCTTAAGAGCAGCATCTTAAGCATGGGGCAGATGATGGAGAAAGGCAACTTGATTCTGATGAAGGATCGAGTACTTTATTTGAAGGACAAGCATGATCGTTTAGTAGCCCGAGTAGAGATGAAAAAGAATCGGATGTATAAACTGGAGCTGAACATCCTTCAAAATAAATGCCTGAAGCTGGACGTGAAGGATGAAGCCATGATGTGGCATTTTCGTTTTGGGCATTTAAACTTTGGAGGCTTGGCCGAGCTATCAAGGAAGGGGTTGGTGCTCGGACTACGTGGTGTTGAGTTTGACAAGAAATTTTGTGAAGCGTGTGTACTCGGAAAGCATTCAAGAGCAAGTTTTCCGAGATCGTCCGAATACAAAGCAAAGGAGCAACTTGGCCTGATACACACTGACTTGTGTGGACCAATCTCTCCTGCATCCTTCAGTGGTAAGAAATATTTCATCTCTTTCATAGATGATTTCTCTCGAAAGACCTGGGTTTATTTATTGCAAGAAAAATCAAAGACATTTAAAGCTTTTAAAAAGTTTAAAGTCATGGTGGAGAAAGAGACTAACAAGCAAATCAAAGCTTTGAGGTTGGACAGAGGTGGAGAATTCACATCGGCAGAGTTTATGGAATACTGTGAAGAGCAAGGTATAAAACGTTTTTTCACAGCTCCATATTCATGACAACAAAATGGAGTAGTTGAAAGAAAGAATCGGACTATTCTTGATATGGTCCGAGCTATGCTTAAAGGGAAGAATATGCCTGAGAAGTTTTGGGAAGAGGCAGTGTAGTGTGCTATATATACAGAACAGGTGCCCACATTCAAAATTGGATGATGTGACACCTCAAGAAGCATGGAGTGGACAAAAACCGAGTATACATCACTTCAAGATCTTCGGAAGCCTTGCTTACGGTCATGTTCCAGCTTAGCTCAGAACGAAGCTTGATGATAGGAGCAAGAAGTATATTTTGATCGGGTATTGATGAAAAGGCAAAAGCCTACAAATTGTACAACCCTGTTAGAGGCAAAATTCGGGTAAGTCGAGATGTCCAGGTAGATGAGGAAAGTGAGTGGAGCTGGAGTAACTCTGAAAAGACTTCGGGGAGCTCGAACTCTGAGAGGGAGAGCTCGGAGATGATAGGGAGAAGCTCGGATAGGACCAATGAGCATTCTAAGGAAGATGATGAACCTGAGCAGCTTAGAACTCGGAGCTTGCAAGACATCTGCAACTCCACTGACGAGTTACATGTAGTATGTCTATTGACAGGAACAAAAGATATAAAATTTAAAGAGCCCGTACTTGATGAGAGATGGAAGCAAGTAATGGATGAGGAGATCGGATCAATGGAGATCGGA